ATTTATTGTAGAGATGAGGTCTCGCCAAGTTGTCCAGGAGGGTCTCGAACCCATGGGCTCAGGCAGTCCACTCACCTCGGCTCCCAAAGCGCTGGGATTACAGGCTGAGCCACTGAGCCCAGCCTTTTTTTTTTTTTTCCTGAGTTGGAATCTCACTCGTTGCCCAGACTGGAGTGCAGTGGCACGCTCACGGCCACCCCAGCATCAACCTGCTGAGCTCAGACTATCCTTCCACCTCAGCCTTCCAAGTAGCTGGAAATACAGGCACACACTACCACACCCAACTAATTTTTTTTTTAATGTATTGTAGAGACGAGGTCTCGCCAAGTTGCCCGGGCTGTTCTTGAACCCACGGGCTCAGGCAATCCACTCGCCTCGGCCTCCCAAAATGCTGGGATTACAGGCTGAGCCACTGAGCCTGGCCGCAACATAATTTTGATCTTACTTGACCTATCAGCAATTGATCACTCTCCCTTGAAACTTCGTTGTCATTTGATTTCAAGACACCACTCTCTCTTGGTTCTCCATACTTTGTTGACTTCTCTTTCTAGAGATGAGATGAGGTCTCGCCAAGTTGCCCAGGCTGGTCTCGAACCTGTGGACTCAGGCAATTCTCTCACCTTGACCTCCCAAAGTGCTGGGATTATAGGCATGAACCACTGTTCCTCTTCAGCTCTTACTCCCCCTTGAATTCACTCCAGGCTTTCAATCCCTACTACTAGTGATACAGCTCTTGTACTTTACTTTCTTCCCCACTTCTTAACCTAAAATGCTATAGTGCAGAGCCCTGTCATAAGACCCCTTCTCTTTCTGTACTCCTTTGGTGGTTATGTTGTTTTAATAATAATCTACATACAATCTAACACAATAATAATCTAACAACTCTCAAATGTATTTCCTGAGCCTAGACCTTTCCTCTCAAATCTGGACTTGTACATTCAATTCATGCCTTTTCGATATCTCCATTTACATATTAATAGACATCTCAGTAGGATTTCTTACCCCTCAAGCCCCACCCAAACCAACTCTTGCTGCAGTCTTCCCTATCTCTATATATGGCAACTGTCAACTGTCTGAACAACGTTGGAATCTTTCTTGATTCTTCACTCTTTCTCTCTCACCCTAGATCTGATCCGTGAGCAAATCCTACTCTCTTTGCCTTTGGATTAGATCCAGAATCCAGCTACTTCTCATTATCTCCACTGAATATTTTACTCTGGGCATCTACCATCATCTCTCACAAATTATTGTCGTGGCCACCTGACTGCTTCTCCTGCTTCTGCCCTTCTACCCTATAATCTTTTCTTAGTACTGCTGTCAGAGTCATCCTTTTAAAATGCAAATCCTGTCATATCCCTCTATAGCTCAGAGCCCTTCAGTGACTTCTCATCTTACTAAAAAAGCCAAAGTCATTTTTCACTCTTGACTTAAAAGGCCCTCCATGACCTGGCTTCCTAGTATCTCTCTCACCTCATCTGTGATTCTTCTGCTTGTTCATCCCATTCCAACTACCCTGGCCTCCTCGATGTCCTCAAACACTCCAAATATACTCCCACCTCTGGACTGAGTACTTACTGTTCCTTCTACCTGGAATACCCTTTCCTTAATTATCTCTAAGGCTTGCCCCTCAGTTCTTGCAGTTCTCTGTTCAAATATTATTTTATTAGAGACCATTCTGTATAACACCTTAACCCCCTACCTAATACTAGTTTATTGCCTTTCTTTCTAGCTCTGCTTTAACTTTTTTTTTTTTAAGAGGTCTTGGTCTCTGGCCCAGTCTAAAGTACATTGGCATGATCATAGCACATTATAACCTCTAATTCCTAGGCTCAAGAGATCCTCCCACCTCAGTCTCCCAAGTAACTAGGACTACACGTGCACACCACTAGACCCAGCTAATTTTTTTTCTTTTACTTTTTTTGTAGAGCTAGGATCTCACTATGTTGCTCAGGCTGGTTTTGAACTCCTGGCCTCAACAATCCCCCTGCCTTGGCCTCCCAAAGCACTGGGATTACAGGTATGAGCCACCATGCCTAGCCAGTTTTTAGCCGTTTGCATAGCATCTGATATACTATATATTTCTTAACAGTCTCTCCTCATTTAAATGTAAAGATCCATAAAGACAAGTACTTTGGGCCAGATAAGGTGGCTCATGCCTGTAATCCCAGCACTTTGGGAGGCCGAGACAGGAAAATTACTTGAGGCCAGGCATTTGAGACCAGCCTAAGTAACATAGCAAGATCTCAAAACATCAAAAAATTAGCCAGGCATGGTGTCATGCACCTGTAGTCCCAGCTAATCGGGAGACTAAGGCAGAAGGATCACCTAGGCCCAGAAAGGTCAAGGCTGCAGTGAGCCTCAGTCATGCCACTGCACCCCAGCCTGGGTGACAGAGTGAAGACCCTGACTTAAAAAAAAAAAAAAAAAGCCGGGCTCAGTGGCTCAGCCTGTAATCCCACGCCTTTGGGAGGCTGAGGTGAGTGGATTGCCTGAGCCCGCGGGTTTGAAACCTGCCTGGGCAATTTGGTGAGACCTCATCTCTACAATAAATCAAAAATTAGCTGGGCATGGTAGTGCACGCCTGTAGTTCCAGCTACTTGGAAGGCTAAGGCAGAAGGATTGCCGGCACCCAGCAGGCAAGGCTGCAGTGGCCGGAAGTGGCCACTGCACTCCAGTCTGAGTGACAGACTGAGACTCCAACTCAAAAAAAAAAAAAAAAAAACACTGGGACTTTGTATGTCCTGAGCACCCAGAACAGTACCTATTATATAGTAAGGATTAATTATTTGCTGATTTAATGAATTTAAAAACATTGGAAGCCTAGTCTCCACTTGAGTTGAGCAGATTCATGGTGCATTCTCAGTTCGGCAGGAGGGGGACTTACCACTGAGGGACAACATAAAGGAGAAGCAATTTCAATAAATACTGTCAGTGCTACTCTAGTGATAATACCATCATATCATTTGAGACAGTACCCAATGGGCTATATTAAATTCTTCTTTTTTTTTTTTAGTTGGAGTTTCACTCTGTTGCCCAGGTTGGAGTGCAGTGGCATGTTCACGGCCACTGCAGCCTCAACCTGCTGGGCTCAGGCAATCCTTTTGCCTCAGCCTTCCTGGAACTACAGGCATGCACCACCATGCCCAGCTAATTTTTTGATTTATTGTAGAGATG